TTTTTATAAGTTATCAAGAGTTCATGAGGGAGGGAGGGAAAACATGAGGAGCTGATACCAAGGGCTCATGTAGAAATAAAATATTTTGAAAATGATGATGGCAACATATATACAAATGTACTTGACTTTTGTGATGAGTTGTTAGACCCTCCAATAAAATGAATTTAAAAAAAGGAAAGAAAAAAGTTCAAAGTGGATGTCAGAAGAGACTGACATTTGCTCTTTATCGTAGAGTAGCTAAAGCAAATGGAAGAAATGATGATGTTAAAGAGCTGAACAAAAAATTTCAAAAGGCTACTCAAGACAAAATAATGAAATGAGCAAAGACTTAGAAAACAAAAAAGGAAGGACATGCTCAGCATATTGTAAACAGAAATAACTCAAGAAAAAATTCAAGGCCTGAGTTGCAATTTTGAAGGATGCAGAAAGCATCAAAAGAACATGGAAAGGACACAGTCACTGTGCCACAAGGACTCGTCGACAGCCACCATTTCAGAAGGTAGCATGTGAGCAAGAACCAGTGGAGCTTGGTTCTTGAAGGAAGAAGTTCAAGCTGTGATGAAAGCATTAGCCAAAAACATGGCTCCAGGAATTGGTGGACTACCAGTTGAAATGTTTCAACAAGCCGATGAAGCACTGGAAATACTATCTATCACTTGTGTTGCCAGGAAATTTGGAAAACAGCTACTTGGTCAGCTGACTGGAAGAGATGCATATATGTACCCATTCCAAAGAAAAGTGACCCAGAAGAATGCTCAAATTATAGAAAAATCATTAATATCACATGCAAGTAAATTTTGCTGAAGATCGTCCAACAATGGTTGCAATTATACATTGACAGGGAGCTGCCAGAGGTTCAGGCTGGATTCAGAAGAGGATGTGAAACAAGGGATATCATTGCTGATGTCAGATGGATCATGACTAAAAGCAGAGAATACCAGAAAGATATCTACTTCTGTTTTATTGACTATTCAATGACATTTGACTGTGAATAGCTTTGAGAAAAATGGAAATCCCAGAACACTTATTGTGCTCATGTGGAACTTGTACATGGATTAGGCAGCAGTAGTGCACATGGTACAAGGGAATACAGCACTGGTTTAAAATCAGGAACAGGGTTGTATCCTCTCACAATACTTATGCAATCTGAATGGTGACCATAGCATCAGAGAAGCTGGATTATATGAAGAATAATGTAGCAACAGGATTGGAGGAAGGCTTATTAACTATCTGTAATATGCAGATGACATAACCTTGCTTGCTGGAAGTGAGGAGGATTTGAAACACTTGCTGATAAAGATCAAGGATTGTAGCCTTCATTACGTATTACAACTCAATGGAAAGCAGATCAGAATCTTCACAACTGGAGGAATAGATAAAATCATGATAAACGGAGAAAAGATTGAAGATGTCAGGGATTTTATCTTGCTTGGATCCACAATCAATGCTCATGGAAGCAGTAATCAAGAGATCAAAGAACTGGTAAATCTGCTGCTGCACAAGGCCTCTTTAGAATATTGAAAAGCCTTTAAGTCCCCAGACGCTATAGGTCTCGATAGTTGGGCACCATCAGCCTTCTTCACCACACTTACTTATGCACACATTTGTCTTCAGCGTTTATGTGTGGAAGGTGGTCACACAATGATGGTTTTTGTTCTTTGGTGTCTGCTGGCTGTTCCCTTCAACAC